TCCCATTGATGTGATTGCCGACCTCGGCGTCGCCGCGTTCCGCTCCATCGTGCCCGGTCGAGACATCCGCCTGCAAAACACACAAAACACACACATACAGAGACACACATACATACAGACACACACATACAGAGACACACATACATACAGACACACACACCAAACTGTGAGCGAGAATGCAACATAACAACAACAGCAAGAACAAGAACAACAAGAACAACAGCAACAAAACCAACAACAGCAACAACAAGAACAAGAACATCAAAAGAACAAATGTACAAACAAACCACTTCAAACACCAAAAGCAGATGCTGTGTTCGACTGACTCGAGGTGCTCGACAATTCCGACGGTGGCGGGGCGGGAGGACAGGTCGGTGGACGAGGTCGCCGTATTCTACACACCAATGGATTGGATGTTTGGTTGCATGCACCCATGCATGGATGAATGGATGGTGAGTGAATGGGTGGAATGGATTGGGTGTGAAGGCGAGGTTGAGATGAAAAGTATGGATGCACACATGGCAGTGGTTGACAGCGAAAGGGAAAAGGAGCTTGAAGAAACAAGGATGAAACCAAGATCAACATGGGGGCGAACGTGCGCCAAGAAGGATGTGATGCATCAAGCACATGGCTGGTGTTGCAGTCGATGCTGCAGTTGATGCGATTGTCGCTGCTGCATGCTTACCACGGTGTGCGGGTTCTCCAGGAATTTGGTGAAAAAGGCAAAGCGGACCTGAGGAAGAGGCGGCAGCCGTGATGTGAGACACAAAGACAACCCAAGCGAGTCGTTACGATAACACGCACACACACACACACACACACACACACACACACACACACACACACACACACACACACACACACACACGCACGCACACACACACACACACACGCACACGCACGCACGCACGCACATCACATCACGTACCTTGCCGTCACGGATGGAGAGTTTGCCGACGCCAAAGAAGATGAGGGAGAGACCGCGTGGGCTTGGCTCGCGAATTTGCCCATCCAGCGCCTTGGAACATTGAATGTGGTTGGAAACGAGACAGGGGCGAGGGAGGGGGGTGTTTCATGACGTTGGTGAGGGTGGGGTTATGGCAGTGCTGAGCCGGTGATGGAAGAGCACACGGCAACGCTTTGGAGCGAAATGAGCAACGCGCGAGCAGCGCACGAGAACAGCACGCATGTGTGTACGCAAATGTGTACGCACACACGCACACATACACACCGTCATTATCTCGGAGAAGCAGGCCTCCACGTCGTCGCGGTTGTGATCCGTCGCACGTGCAATGTCTGAGAAGTTGAGCGACACAATCGGGCAGCTGCCTACGAGTTCCCAGTCAAAACACGCCAACGTACACAACACACAAGCGCATGCACGTGTGAGCTGATATGAGGGAGAAGCAATGTTCGATCACCCACAAGGGCACATATACGCACACACACACACACACACAACGCACACACACACACACAACGCACGCACTTGATGTGGGTTTGGTTGTGGCCTTGAGACCATGCTTGCGGATAAACTGTTCCGAGAGCTGGAAGATTGGGGTGCGGTCGTCCACGACAGAGAGGGCGAAGGTGCCCAGCCCGTTCACGTTGACCCCCTTCGATACGAGAAAGACAAAAACGGAGACAGAAGGGACACACACACACACACACACAGACACACACACACACACACACACACAGACACACACAGACACACACAGACACACACACACACACAGACACACACAGACACACACAGACACACACACACGCACACACACGCACACGCGCACACACACACACACGCACACAGATGTGCAGATGAGCAACGATCAAGTTGGCGCATCAACGACAGCGGCGTGAGTTGCCATTGGCAGTGCAAAGACGACGCCCATGACGACGGCAATGACGACCAAGATGAAGCACCGCATTGACACACACCTTGCCCTCTGTGATGGCTTTGGCGATGTACTGCGACACCCCAAACCAGATGTTGGCAACACCTGCGATGTCATTGGCATCAAAGCAAGAAGCAACGTGGAGCACATTAGGGGGCATGAGCGATCGGCCCACCACACATGACAAAGCAGACGCCGTCCAACACCACGCGTGCTCAACCCACACCACAGCACTCATATACACAAACGCACACCTTCTTCTGTGAGGTGAGGGATAGTGGAAAGGCTCGATGTCCGAGCTTGGTCCAGCAGGCGCTGCGTGCTGTGCAACGCGAGCCGGTTGTCCCGTGGCAGCGTGTCCATGGTGTGGAACGTAGCGAGAGAGAGAGAGAGAGCAAGGTGCGCGGTGCAAGCAGCGGCCGCAGGCAAGGAGACACGCAAAGAGAGAGATGGAAGCGGCTGTTGTTTGCGCGCGCGTGTGTATGCGTGTGTGTGCGTGTGGAAGGAACGCCTGCTTCACTCACTCACTCAGAGAGCACCAAGACAACAAACGCGCCACACAAGGAACAACACACACCGCGAGCACTGACAGCCACCAACCAAACACAACCCAATCAATTGGTTCGCAGAGTGCACACAACAAGCAACAAGCAACGCTGTCGCAGCAACAGCAGCAGGGGCAAAACAGCGCGCTTGTGTGTGTGTGTGTGCTTAGCTTTCACTTGACAACAGCGCACAGCTGACCAACAACGCAAATACTGCTGACTCAGCAAAATTGTTGTGTGAGGGGTTTGTTCATGCAAGTACACACACCACATACACACACACCACATACACACACACCACACACACACACACACACACACACACACACACACACGTGCACACACATTTGCCTCTGTTTATGGACAGCTGTAGACACGTCATAGGTCAACAAGCAAACAGGCAAGCAGGCAAACAGGAAGAATAATCGACAACCAACCTCCAAACAAGCCCAAGATGTTCATGTTGTAACAAGGATCGCATTCATTCACACTCACATCCATGCATGCATGATGCAAGTGCATTCACTCACACACACTCTCTCTCCCTCTGCAGTAGTCCCCTCCTCCTCCTCCTCACCGCCACCACCACTACCACTTGGTCTCTGCGCTTCACCGACCATCTTACATCCTCTTGGTGCGTATCCCGCCCAGCTGCTTCTTGCACTCGTTGCACAGGTTGATTGTGAACGGCTTGCCTGCACTTGATGATACACTTGTCACGTGACTACTACCGCTGCCGTTGCCACTACTGCTGCTCGCCGTGGTTGCGCCGTTGCCGCTGCTGCTGCTGTCAGCGCTGGGTGTTGCGCGCATGTGTGCGGGCATTGTCACATCGCTGCGACAGTCGCGGCAAGCAAAGCGCGTGCACATTGGGCACTCCCGTCCGCGTGTCAGCAGCGTGAAGCGTGTTTTTCGGCATATGGGGCACAGCTTCTTCTGCGCAATCGCATTGTACTACAGAGAGAGAGAGAGAGAGAGAGAGAGAGAGAGAGAGAGAGAGAGAGAGAGAGAGAGAGAGAGAGAGAGAGAGAGAGAGAGAGAGAGAGAGAGAGAGAGAGAGGAGAGTAGAGGAGGGAGAGAGCGTGTTGTGTGTGTGTAAGTAATTGTGAGAGAATGTGTGTGTGTGTGTGTTGGAGGACAAACAACAATCTGAGCGCAGGGCATGGTACGCCGCACACACTTTTACACAGAGCACAACGACATGCATTCTAATGAGCAAGTGCGCACGCACGAATGTGCACACACAGCCCATCTTACCTGCTTTTCGTTTTGGTACATGAGATCATCCAACTCCGCCTGTCACGCGACGAACACATGGAAAAAAAACATACAACACAAGAGTCAAAATGATGCGTGGACACACACACACACACACACATACACACACACACACACATACACATACACACACCCCTGCACAAAATGAAAGGAGATTTGAGGCAGCACGTGCACGTGATCAAAGGTTGAGTCCTCCTCACCTTGAAGAGCGTGGTGGAGATGTGGCGGTGTTCCTCAAAGCCAACGAAACTGTGATGCAACACGCGCAAACACGCACCCACATGAGCTGTAAGCGAGTACAAAGAATGCACGCACACACACACACGCACACACACACACACACACACACACACACACACACACACACACACACACACACACGCACACACACACACACACGCACACACACACACACACCTGCACTCTTCTTGTGGTTTCGGCGGTGTCCCTCCATTCTGCTGTTGTTGTCGTTGTTGTGAGTGCGAGAGCGACGATGAAGCGGTGGAGGGGCGAGCCGGCAGCGTCACGGCTGATGACGACGACGGTGATGATGGCGATGACAAGGATGATTGTCCTGACAGCGACTGGCGAGTCGTTGGTATGAGATTGCTGCCATCACCATCACCACCACCGCCACCACGACCACTTCCACGCACCCCGGCCGTTGCTGGTCTATCACCACCACCGCCACCATCACCGCCATCACCGCCACGACTGCCACTGCTGCTATGCGCGTCAGCCTGCCCCGTTCTCTCGTGGTTGCTGCCGCTGTTGCCGCTGGCAGTGCGGTTGTGTGCGGGCGACGACGCGGTGGGGGTCTTGGCCTGCTGTTCAGCAAATGCCAGCTTCACCTGTTTGGTAAAGGGGTGAGGGAGAGGAGAGGTGGTGATGTCAGTGGTGAAGGGGCAAGAAAGCGCAAGCGCGCGCGCGCGTGTGTGTGTGTGTGTGTGTGTGTGTGTGTGTGTGTGTGTGTGTGTGTGTGTGTGTGTGTGTGTGTGTGTGTGTGTGTGTGTGTGTGTGTGTGTGTTCGGAGCATGTACACGTGGTTCCACGAGTGCGTGCTGAAATGTGTGTGTGTGTGTTTGTGTGTGTGGGACAGCAATGCAAACGACGGCGCAGTTGGCGCACACGATGATCTGCTGCTCACCTGTGTCGTTGCGTCCAGCCCACCCAGGATGGAACCAAGTGCACTCGAATCCAGCGCAAGCCGCACAGGCATTCTTTTCTTCCTTCCATCACCACCACCACCACCACCGTTATGGGTACTATCACCGCCATAGCCAGGGGTGCCCATGCTGGCTGTGCTGCGGTTGTGCTGCGACGCAGCAGCAAGCGACTGCCGCTGCGAGTGCGTGTGCTGGTGTGCACCGGGGAGTGACTCTGTTGATGCCGCTGTCGACAGGCGAAGGGGCGTGCCACCGTGCGACGACATTTGTGAGCGAGCGCTGCCGTGCTGCTGGTACCCGTGACGGCTGTACGCGCCACGTGTGGGCAGCGTGTCAGCCGCGTGCGTGTCTGGCGTGCTGTGTGAGAGGCGCGTGGGCGTGGGCGCTGGTGTTTTGTTGAGCGAAGCAACGGATGATCGGCGAATGTCGTCCAGCAGCTGCTCGTGTGGTGTCACGTACGGCGCAGGCCCCGTCAACGCACGCTTCGACCCCTGCAGGGCCAAGTCATCGCGATGGCGACAAGGGGGAGTGATGTGTGCGTGTGAGGTGTGTCATGTGTGTGTGTGTGCGCGTGTGTGAGTGATGTGAGTGAGTGCGCGCGCGCGCGTGTGTGTGTGTGAGGTGTGTCATGTGTGTGTGTGTGTGTGTGTGTGTGTGTGTGTGTGTGTGTGTGTGTGTGTGTGTGTGTGTGTGTGTGTTGAAAGACTGGCACCCACCAATCAAACATCGCCACCGCCACCACCACCACCACCACCACCACCACCCCTCACTAGATCACTCGTGACAAAACAGGGGAGCTGCGCGTACATCCTTGAGGTCTGGCTTGGCCTGGATCTCCCTCATGAGTGATGCGTGCAGGTCTCGTGTCTCGTCAAAGGCCGTCGCGTCCTGTGTATATCCGCTGTCAGGTGAGCTCGATGTTGTTGCTCGCCCGCTCAGCAGCTCGGCCGGTATTTGCCCGTCCTGTTCAGGCACGCACAGGATGTGTGTGTGTGTGTGTGTGTGTGTGTGTGTGTGTGTGTGTGTGTGTGAGTGCCTGCCAAGGGGAGTACAAAGGCCGGGAGGTGAACCATTTCATTCCGTGCGACCAGTCACGAACATGTCAAGACATGCGACGCACCGCCTTCTCAATGCTGATGGCGAGTGCAACAAGGTCCTTCAACACTTCAACGGCTTCATTGTCCTCCACATGCGCGCGGCACGCCTGGCAACCACGTGCGTGTGTGTGTGTGTGTGTGTGTGTGTGTGTGTGTGTGTGTGTGTGTGTGTGTGTGTGTGTGCGCACGCGATGAGAAACATCGACACGCAGGGTGTACATGTATACGTGCATGTGCAGAGGAGCGAGTCCCACATGCAACGGGTATGAGCAGTTCTTGTGCAAGAACTACAAGCAGCTGGGTACGCGCACACACATACACACTCAACGCACACACACACACGCACACAGTACACACACAACACATACAGCACACGCACACACCTGGATGGCCGCCTCGAGTGTGTGTCTGTCCTCCATGCATTCGTCAGTCATCTGGGTGATCAATGCCTCAAGATCTGCAGCGGCAACAAGCAAGCAGCATCACCAATCAGCGACACATGCAAATATGCTCGCCATCACACACACACGCATGCACAAACACACACACACACACACACACACACACACACACACACAACCGCCAGGGCACGAGCACACAATTGCACACATGTCTCTTCTAGGACGCGCGCACACAACTATGCGGCGTACCCTCGCTGAGCGATGGCTCTTCGTCCTCCATGAGTGAAAAGTCGGCAGCCGTGAACAGAAGCGCGCCAATGCTGAACACGTGCGCCTGCACACACACACACACACACACACACACACACACACACACACACACACACACACACACACACACACACACACACACACACATGCACGCAGATATGCATACAGAACAGAATGATTGCGATCACGTGAACGGCGCGTTGCGGTGTCGGAACGGACATGTGCTTGGTGCAGATATGCAAACGCACGCATGCACGCGCATGAAGCACACGTGGGCACCTTTTCCAGGTCAGTGGAGGGCTGTCGCTCCTTGACCTCGTCTGCCAGGAACGGGAGTGTTTGATCTTCGTTGCCTGGATGGCGGATTGAAGCGTGTGAACACGTGAGGTGACATCCTGCAAGGCTGCGGACGTGCAAGGACACACACAGACACACACAGACACACACAGACACACACACACAGTACATACACACACGCACACAGGTACACACACACAGGTACACACACACACGCAGGTACATACAAACACACAGGTACACATACACACGCAGGTACATACAAACACACAGGTACACATACACACAGGTACACACACACACACACACACACACAGCGAACACACCAAGGGTGGACATGTCCAAGGTGACGTGGCCGGACGGCTCGATGATGGCGGTGTTGGCGTTGATGAGGAAGGTGAGGTGCTGCGGATCGCTCAGGTCTGGGAAAGACGGTTTCAGGGCATCCATGTGCGCGCCCAGCAGCAACGCAAGCGCCCATAGCTGCTCCTCATCCAACGGCGCATTCAGCGTCGTCAGGATGTGGTGGACAGAAGGCATTGTGGTCAACTGTGCTGGTCCGTCGCTTTGTGCATGCACGCTGACGACGCAGCCCGGTGTGGTGATGATGAAGGTGTGTTGTTGCGTGAATGATGATGATGCATGTGATGATGGCGATGAGCGGTGGTGAAGACGTTGGTGTGCTCCCTTTGTTGGAGAGACGGGAGGATGTATGTGCTGCTTCGATGCGTGCAGACACCACGGCACAAGAGCTGTCGTCACACGCCAACACGCCAACACGCCAACGCACACCAGCTATGTTTGGAACACCCCACCACAGCAATCAAACACAACAGCAAGCAAGGTCGTGGGTGGGGGCACGAACCTGTTTCGTTGTCTGTTGTGGACGTGGGGGAAAAACGGTCGGAATGCTGTGGTTTGTTGTTGTTGTTGTTGTTGTTGTTGTTGTTGTTGTTGTTGATGTTGTTGTTGTTGTTGTTGTTGTTGTTGCTGTTGTTCGTCTTCATCCCTCCCGTCTCCTTCTCCCTTGTGCCTTCCCTTCCCTTGCCACTCGCTTGCTGCTTGCCTGGTTGCCTCTCCTTCCCTCTTACAGCGCTCGCTTTTCTTCTCAACCTCTTTTACTTTGGTCCACACACGTACACTCATACACACAATGTAAAGTCAAACAAGCAAACACATCGCGTCGTGAGCACACACGCAAGCAAGGACAGGTCCAATTACACATCGTGGCACACGTGCTCAAACGTAGCACCATCCGCCCAGCCACACGAGTCCAAGGCATCTTCTTCGCTTCTGATCACCACCTCAGCCCCTCTCGCCGCGCTTGCTTCGCTTTGAACGAGGCTCGTCACCATCGTCGTCGTCGTCGTCATCATCGTCATCCCCATCGCCATCATCACCATGATCATCATCCTCGCGAGCACCGCTTTGTTGCTGCTGATGCTGCCGTGCGTGCGCCTCTGCTGCGAGTGCAATGGTGTGCAGCCCGTGCGTTGCCATGAGCTCCCCTGCCCCGCCATCACCATCGCCAGCGTGATGCTGCTGTGGGCGGCGCGTGCTGGCTGATGCCGCTGTCGAAGATGAAGCCATCGCAGCTGTTGTTGTAGTAGCTGTTGTTGTTGCTGTTGTTGCTGCTGCCCTTGATGTTGAAGGGGTGCCCGCGGCTTTGGATGGCGGGGACGAGGAGGGGTTGCGAGCTGACCCACCATCACCATCACCATCACCATCACCATCACCATCATCATCGCCATCGTCATCGCCATGGGCGCTGTCCCCTTCGTCGGACGGCCTGTTCGAATATGAGTCGGGCGTAGAAGTGTCACTGGTCCAGTAAAGCGTGTAGTCATAAAAATAATCAGCAGCACCAGCACCAGCACCACCCGCATCATTGCCGTCGTCGTCATCATCGTCGTCCATGGCGGGCAAGGTGCTACTGGGTGGCATGCCAATCTTGCTGCGAAACCGAAGCGCACACCGAAGCGCTCGCCGCAGTGCCGCCTCTTCATCCTCAAGCTCAGCACTCGTCGGCCCAGACACCTCAGCGTTCTCTCCTCCTGCTGTGGCTGCAGGTGTGGCCGTTGTGACTGCTGTGGCTGTTGTTGCAGGCGTTGCTGCCGACGTTGCCGTCCTGGCAGCAAATGCTGCTCTCGTTGTTACTGGTGGTTGCTGTCCTGTGCGTGCGGTTTCCTGTGCCGGGCTGTCTCGCTTGAGAATCAGCGGTGGCAGCACCAACATGGTGAACCCACGCATGCCCAGCGAGCCGTCCAGGGGGATGCAGTCCACCACGCATGGGTCCCGTGACCTCTCCCGAACCATGTCTGCACAAGCACCAGGAAATGAATGTGTGTGTGTGTGTGTGTGTGTGTGTGTGTGTGTGTGTGTGTGTGTGTGTGTGTGTGTGTGTGTGTGTGTGTGTGTGTTGGTTTGGGGGAGGAGGGTTGAGAGCATGTATCACAGAGAAGAGGATAGGAAGCGCGTGCTTGCGTGCTTGCAAGTCTGTATGTCCTTGTGAAAGCATGTGCGCGTGTGAAGCACACCCACGCTTGCCGCCATCGCGTCCCTCCTTGCCCCGCCACGCTCATCCCTGCTGCTGTCGCCACCACCACTACCACCACCATTACCACCTTCACGTGTTGTGCGCGTACCGTCCGGGTTAAACGCCTTGAAGATCTCTGGCAGGCGTGACGGCGCGCTGCCGGGAACAAGAGGCGGCAGCACATCCGCACTAAACTGCGGCACTGATCATGCATGCAAGCAAGCAACAAAAAAAAAGGGGGGGGGGCACGAGAGGAGATGTTGGTGAGCGCAGGCAGTGAGTTTGGCAAGTTAATGTGCATGGGCCGTGGTGCACGTGATCGAGTTGTCAATGGCCACAAACAGAGACTCAAGGTGTGTATGTGTATGTGTGTGTGTGAGTGAGTGAGTGAGTGAGTGAGTGTGTGTGTGTGTGTGTGTGTGTGTGTGTGTGTGTGTGTGTGTGTGTGTGTGTGTCTGTGTGTGTGTGTGTGTGGCCAGCACCACACGAAACTCTGGCTATGTGCTGTTGCGTTGCACACCTCTGGTTGCAATGTCGGTCTTTGCGGCAAGGTACTGCAGAAAGGGGGCAGATGCAACCTTCCGCAACAGCTGCACGGCGTCAGCAGTCGTACGCAGCTGCCAATCATTGGGGCGAGCACGTTGTGAGAGTGAGGGAGGCAGGGAGAGTGTGTGTGTGATGTGCGCGCGCGCGTGTGTGTGCGTATGTGTGTGTGTGTGTATGTGTGTGTGTGTGCGCAAAGTTGGAAGTGAAGGCGGTGATGCCCAGCAGCACGCACATCACAGCCTGTCGGTGACACAGCACGCCAGTCATCTCCAACCACAACACAAGACAACACAAGACCACACAAGACCACACAAGACAAGACAACAGGGGTGTCGCGGGCGGCGAGAGTGGGCTGCGGGGAAGCGTACCCTGACGTTGGTGTAGGTGAGCCAGAACACGGCGAAGAAGGGGTCAGCCTCCTGCAACGTCAGCACCAGCGCCCCCTTTCCCGCGCCACGCAGCACTGGTTATTGTGGTCATGAAGGGTGCGCGTGTATGTATGGTGGAAATGAGACGCATTAATGTGAGTTGGGCATGCGGGGAGGAACACACAGACACAGACACACACTGGCATACACACAGACACACACTGGCATACACACACACTGGCATACACACAGACACACACTGGCATACACACGCACACACACGCACACTGGCATATACACACACACTGGCATACACACACACACACACACTATTCAGCGCGCAAGCCGGCCAACCAAACCCCTCCCCGCTCGCTCTCCAATCTCAAAGAAGCAGAACGAACGTTGATCTGGGTTGAAGGAGGCGCCGCGCACGACGTTTGTGAACGCCAGCTTTGCATGAAAGCGGTCGGGGTGGGAAAGACACATCCGGACGAGGCGACGCATGACTGGGTCCGTCACCGTTGTCGCATTCAAGTTCATCACCCGGAACACTGGCAGTCGACACAAGCAGAGCAGAAGCAGGAGTTGCAGGTTGCTGGCGATGTGAGTCGTCAAGAACAAACGTGTAACCTCACAGACAACACAACATGCCGTACAACAGAAGGAGGGGTTTTGATTGGTACCAACCATCGGACGCATACGCACGCACGCACATGCACATGAGCGCGCGCGTGTCCAAAACACGTGGAGACGCCATAACTTGCATATGCACGCAAACAAACAAACAAACAAACAAACACGCACGCATGCTTAAGCCTCCCTCCCCCCCCCCACACACACAAATGACGAACCAATCTGCGCGAGTGTGTCGACATTCTGGTGGCGCTCCATTGTGGTGAACGTGCTTTCGGCGTTCTCTGCCAAGAGCAAACCAACGCCGTTGTGCCGGTCGCAGAAATCGGCCACCGCAATCGGTGATCGACACGCGCCAACCAGCTGCGCAAGGCCACCGCGAAGCATGCCCACGTCGGCGCGCATGTGCTCGTGGAGGGTGGACATCACTCGGGGACTGCCCATGCGGAAGGCAATGCTGAAGAGCGAGCTGCGGTGCGTGGAGTGGCGCATCTCCCGTCCAACCAGCACGGGCTCCATGGTCAGGATCTCGTCGATGACGTCGGTGTGGCGGCCCAGGCATGCATAGGTGAGAGCAATCATGAGCACATGGCGCATGTACACCGTGTCCGCGTTTGGGCGCCCCGTGCGCCACTCTCGCAGTGCACGCATGCACAGATCCTGGTCGCCAACCCACGCAGCCTGAATCAGGGTGTTGGCGGTAAAGACGGGCGTGTGCTGGAACATGGCGTAGCTGGCCTCCAGGTCAGGCTTGCTGATCTTGAGCGGCATCTCCCAGTATTTGACGCCTGTCGTCGACATGTGGTGCCACATCCAGCGCTTTCGGCGGTGTCGCAGTGCATCGACAATGCTCCTCATGGCTCGACACGTGCGGCGCAAGTGCTGAATGTCGTGCGCCTCCAAATGCGGGAACACCTGATGCATGGTGTCAATGCCGTGTGTGTGTGTGTGTGTGTGTGCATATGGTGTTGTGAGTACCCTTACACAGGCGCCATAGTTATGGTGCGCTTGTCGAGGGCCCCTCGACAAATGTCGTCGATGCACACTCGCAAACAAGCGCGCGCGCACAACAGCAAGCACACTCGCAAACAAGCGCGCACACACCAAACACACAACACACATAACACACACACATAACACACACACACACACACAAGCACACACAGAGGTGTGGAGCAGGGCAATGCTTGAAATACGTAGGCGTGGATCACTTCCTGGGGAAGCGTGAACAGTGGCGAGTCCTGAATGACTGCGGTGTCGTCTTCGGTGGCGATGGGAGAGTCCGCAGTCGACACAGCACCGCCATTGCCGCCACCGTCGCCATCGCGGTCGTTGTTGGTGGTGTCGCCGCTGACGTCCATCCGCTCGCCGGCACGCTGTGCTGGCCCGGCCTGTTCACCCTGCGCCTCATCCATCACCAATAATTGGTGCTGATGAAAATGATGCGCGAGGGGGTGGGTGGTTTGGTTGGTTGGTGTTCGTCGAGAGCGGACGGCGGACGGCGGTCAAATCAACAAAAAGCAACAGCGGTCGCAGCAGCAGCTCGGGAAGTGAACTGTAACCGACACCACAAACCGCATATTTCCAAGTGACGAAGATTTGTGGACATTTTCAACCAACCGTCACAACAACGATGCCCGCAAGCAAGAAGTTGTTGTTGGCGCTCTTCTGCTTGTTGTTGGTGGTGGCAGCCGCCACCGCCCAACACCTGTCCTTTCCAGCATCAGTCGACAAGCCAAGCTCCCCCGTCGTCCCCCAGCTCCCACAGTTCCACGCTCATCGAGAACGAGAAGCACAAGCAGACCCAGGCCTTCGTCGTCTCAGTCAAGGAGAAGAACCCGCCCACGCCATTTTCGATGGGATTTGCACTGAGAACGAGGCAGAGGATTCACCAGCCTCGCCGTTGTCCGTTTTGCGCGTTGGCTGCGATCGCCATGCAAGGCTGTGTGGCCGTGCACGCCACGCTCTGGCGCGCCTCTCTTCAGCCAACCAAGCACAGGGACCCAAGAACGCGCGCCCAGGCGCCGAAGAGGAAGACGGTGATTGGCTCGTCACTCCCACACCGAAAGCTGTGAAGAGAGCACACGACGAGGAGTTGGCCGCGCTCCAGGACATTGTGGCTGCGTTTTGCAACCCTGTCCTGTTGAACACGAGGCGCACACTGCAGCCGGATGCAGGGGACGGTTTGCGCCCACGCATGGACACCAGCAAGGAAAGCACGGCTGACACAGACGGCAATCTCAATCCAGTGCCAGGCAAGGGCAACGGTGTGGCTGACCGTCAGGACTGGAACCACCTCCACCACCAGAAGCATCGCAGGGCTCTCAACGAATCCACACCATCCTCTTCAGCATCCACGAGCCACACAACTTCTGCCACCCCTGCCACCACCACCGCCGCCACCCCTGCTGCCACCCCTGTCACCACTACCCCTGCTACCCAAGCCCGTTCCCGCCAACCCCGGGGAGATACTCTGGAGTGCTCACTACAGAGAGTTGTGGGCGACTTATGTGTTCTACAATCGACGCTCATCGATCATCCACGGCTTGTCCTCACGGTCAAGGATGCAACAAAAGCAAGCGAGGACCTTGCCGTCTTCAATACGAGCCACAACCCAATACGCATACTGTCTGAGACAGTTGCAACCCACCACTTGATTCTAAGAGGCGAAGATCCAGCGCAAAACGAGCTCAGCACAGACGTGGTGCGCACCATACTTGAGCTGGGCAATTGGAGCAGCGTCGCCACCATCACACTGCAGCAGCTGGTCACCGACACCTTCTTCCTCAGCACGCTCAACCCGCTCACCAACTTGACAGCCATCGAGATCAAAGACAGCTCAGTTGTGCAGCTGAATACAAGTGCAAATGGCGCGCCATTCGCGCGGGCTCCATTCCTGCAATCCCTCACAGTCAGCCACAGCCGACTTCGACATGTTGCTGCAGAGACCGTATTTCACGACATGGACGCCCTGACACATGTGCGCTTGGACAACAACCAGATCACCATTGTCGATGCCAGCATGTTCGCTCCCCTGACCAAGGTGGAAGAGCTCGTGCTGCTATACAATCACCTCACCAGCGTGCATGAGGATGCGTTCGTGAGCAACGCCGCTCTCAAAACCCTCACGCTGCATGGCAATGACATCACCGAACTGAAGCCTGGCTTGCTGCAAACGCTCACTCAGCTGCGCAAATTGGACATTGGGGGCAACCCGATCCAGTATCTCCGGGACGATTTCTTTTTACATCAAACCCAGCTCAGGGAGCTGAACTTGACATTCCTGCAGCTTTCCACCGTGTCCACTGACCTTCTGGCCCACGCCACGAACCTGCGAGAGCTCTCATTGTTCCGGGGAACGCTTAAGACCATCGAAGCCGAGGCATTCGCGGGCCTGACCAACCTTGAGCGATTGGACCTCTCACGAAACGAATTGACCGAGCTCAGCAGCGCGTGGTTCGGGACAGGCTTGCGGAGACTTACCCGCATTGAAATCACGGAGAACAAGATCGAGTGCATCAACGACAGCCTACTAGATAGTCTTCCTGCGCTGGAGGTGCTCTACTTGCAAGCAAACGCCTTGACAAAGCTCTCCCACAAGCTGCTCAGCAACCACGAGAACTTGCGCATCTTTGACGTCAGCGACAACAACGTCCAGGCTGTTGAAAAGGGCAGCTTCGTCAATGTGCCCAGTCTTCTGCATTTCAGCCTGGCCAACAACAGAGTGGAGAAGTTCGACCTACCAGACACCCTGGCCCAGCTCAAGTCCTTACGCCTCAACGGAAACCCCATCAAACATGTACCCAACTTTGAGCGGCTCGTGGACCTTGAAGAGCTCTTCTTCAACAACCACCACATCAAACACCTTGACATTTCACCCCTTCTAGCGCTCACCAACCTCACGCGCCTGGAGGTGAGCCCTGCACCGGAACTGATGGGCAAGGCAACCATCAGTATTGGCGAAAGCGTTACCGTGCCACCCATGCTTCGGTTCGTCGACGTGCGCAACGTTGACGTGGAGCAGCTGGCGACGCGCTTGCTCTCACAACGGCGGACATCGGGCATTATGCTCGAGTCCCTGGGGCTTGGCTGGCCTGGCATGAACGAAAGCACAGTCCCCCTCAAAGCAATCTGCGGGGCTCTCGCGCCCAGTGTCAGCACACTGCAACTCACCGGTACCAGCTACACGAGGCTTGACCTCTGCCCTGACCGCCAGTTCAACAACGTCCTCTTACAGGACAACACGATGCTGCGGGAGGGCGCCGTGTTCTCTCCACTACAGCACCTCAACCTGTCTGGGAGCACGAGCCTGACGCAGTTTGAAGCGCCCTCTGTTGAGGTGTTGGACATCAGCAAAACCCAATTCCCCGTGTCACGCGGACTGTGCCGCGCATGGGGCAGCCGCGTTGTAGTGGCTCGTGATTGGATGAACAAGGACGCTCAATCCCAAGAAAGAACACACTCACTGCTGCGCCGCTGCCTCTCCTTCAGCGACATCGAGCTGCTAGACCTGAGTGACAACGAGTGGATCAATTCGCCCAAGTTCATCGAGGCCCCGACGGCGTACCTCACCGCGCTCGCCAGTGAGGGCGTGCAGGACCTGAACTTTGTCAACTTGGACAACAGCAAGGCCATTCCCATCCTGCAGCTCGCCAACACGGCAATCACCTGCAAGCTGCGCGTGTCTGCACGCCGAACACGCCTGCTGAGCCACCTAACAGCGCTGCAGGATCGCACCACCTACCAGTTCAAGTGCAGCTGCGCCGGCGGCTATCGCAACGTTGATGGCAAGTGTAAGCCCCGCAAGGACACCGTCACCATTGTGCTCGCCACACTGGCTGCGGTTTTGGGTGTGCAAGGGCTTGCTTATGCCGTGCACCGCGCCTACCGCGACCACCGCCGCCTGCGCGTGGACAACGCGTTGAAGGAGCAGCTGCTGGAGGAGAAGGATGCAGAGGTGCTGGCGCTCAAGGCCGTGTGGGAGATTGAGTTTTCCGAGCTGCAGCTGCTGCGCGTGGTGGCGAGTGGCGGGTTTGGTGAGGTGTGGGAGGGCCAGTGGGATGCCGTGCACGTGGCAGTGAAGATTCCAAGGCAGGCCATTTTGCTGCTGGACGATGGCGCCAGCATGCAAGACTTTGAGAAGGAGGTGGAGTTCCTGCAACGAACACGCCACCCAAACCTGGTTCGCTTCTTTGGTGCTGGCCAGCAGCCCGGCACGGGCGTCCCCTTCCTTGTGATTGAGTTTGTCCAGTTGGGCTCCCTGCGCCAGCTGCTTGAGGACGGTGGCCTCGCTGCCGCGCTGCGCCACTTCAACGCCACCGACACACAGGACAGCGAGCATGGCTTGGCCCAGCACGATGAGGCTGATGGCTGCGTCTTTGTGCGCTCCCTCACACTGCAGAGTCTAAAGCTTCGTCTTGCACAGGACGTGGCTAGCGGCATGGCTTTCATTCACAAGCTGGGCCAGCTGCACAGGTGCGTATACGTGTGTATTTGTGTGTGTGTTTGTGTGTGTTTGTGTGTGTGTGTTTGTGTTGGTGTGTATGTGTGTGCGTTTTTTGCGCATGTCTGCTTGTGTGTGTTTGTGTGTGCGCATGTCTGCTTGTGTGTGTTTGTGTAGGTGTGTGTGTGTGTGCGTTTATTTTGCGCGTGTCTGCTTGTGTGTGGGCGTGTGTGGGCGTGTGGGTACACGCATGCACCTGTGCGTGTGGGTACACGCATGCACCTGTGCGTGTGGGTACACGCATGTGCCTGTGCGTGTGTTTGTACACGCGCAATCGTCTTCAAACACGCACGTGCCCGTTTCTCCGTTTTGCGTGTCTTGTCGACCCATGTGAGCAATGTGCTGCTGTGCCAAACGCGGCCCGAGCCACGATCCCTCATCATATGTATCGTCCGTCTCCTGCTCCACACATTTGCTGCCTTGTCCTTCTCGCAGGGACTTGAAGAGCGGAAACGTGCTTGTGTCGACCAGCCTCCGCGCCAAGATCACAGACTTTGGCACAATCACCCAGCGCATCACAGCCAAGCGCGTGGCGCCGCTGCGGTCCCGACTGCGCAGGGCAACGCACTTGTTCCGCAAAACAAAAGGCAGCAAGGGCACAGCCAGCGGTGAATACGATGACGATGGCGATGATCACGCTGGTGGCGGCAGCGGCCAGCATCACGATGACCAGAAGGAGGTTCCTGGGGACGTGGTGTACGACCGCCAGCTGTGCACGCAAACGCTGAGCCGCGTGGTGAACCACACCATTGCTGTGGGCACGCCCATGTACATGGCACCGGAGGTGCTGGATGGTGGCAAGTACGATGGAAAGGCGGACGTGTTCAGCTTTGGGGTGCTGCTGTGGGAGATTGAAATGGAGCACGTGCCTGATTTGATTGAGCAGGAAGTTGGACCCAATTTCGCTGGGCCAATGATGGCACGCCTGTTTACCTTGCTGTCACAGGGCAAGCGCCTCAACTTTGACGCAAAGGGTGTGTTGATTTTGTGTGTGTGTTTGGGGGGGGGAATTGTCTGTGGATGTGTTGTGGATGTGAGTGGATGTGTTGTGGATGTGTATGTATGTGAATGTGAGTGTATGTATGTGTGTGCATGCGTGTGAGCGCGTGCAGATGCGTGTTTCTGTGTTTTGTCTGTTTGTCTGTTATGTTTGTTGTTGTGTTTGTTTGTTGTGTTTGTCCAAAAGTTATGTTCATGTCACATTACATGTGCATGGAAGCTGTAAATGGTGTCTGTATCTACGGTACAGATTGCGTTGCAGTTCTCACTCCACCGTGCTTTGTTTCCGTGCGTTCATATAATTTCTCGTGTATTGTAATGCAGGGAGCACGCCCACGTGGTACCAGAGCCTGGCCCAAGAGTGCATGGCGCAATACCCGTCGCAGCGGCCGACATTTGCGCAGATCCACCCTCGCCTCGTGTCTCTGGCCACACGTAGCACCAGCGTTACCAGCAGTAGCAATGTTGCTTCCAATCAGCCAATGTAGCCACCAAGTCAAGTCAATCTCCACACATGTGCGTGTCACATGGAACGTCTTCCCGAGCATGCACCGTTGTTATGTTGCTGTGTTTTGTTCTTTTTTGCTGTTAGTGCTATGGCTCCAGTCATTCTGCTGTGTGCGTTCCTTTCTTTTGTCTGCTGCTCGTGCCATGGAGTTGCGCAGTGTGTTTGTTGTTGCGATCTGGTTTGTTGTTGCGCTTCGCGTTCTTCTATGTTTTGCTGACCTTTTCTTTGACCCCCCCCCCTCCTGTATTGACCCTTTGTTTGCCGTCGTTACGTGCCTTGCTTTTGGTTCTGCTTGTGTTATGTTACACCTTGACGCCGTTGATGTGCTACGTTTCGAAATCGTTTAATTCTCCTGCGTTAACAACAACAACAACAACAACAACAACAACAACAACAACAACAACAACAACAACAACAACTTAAACAACAACAACAACAACAACAACAACTTAACCAACACTTGCATCAGTGCCCCCCCCCCCCCCCACACACACACACACACATGGAACAACAA